TTATTCCGAGACCTATAATGCAAACGCTACTTCTAAATTGGTTTTTGGAGTATGACTGTACAGATTTTTATTAAAAATCAAAATTAGGTGAATTACTGCTTGATTACTTAGAAATGTTTTTAATGGGCTATTAAATAAAAAGAAAACTCACCTGGTTCTGGCAAAATCAAGTGGGTAGACAAAGCAGAGAGAAGTAGCTCCAGCAGCACCACCAGAGGCCAAATTACCCATGAAGTATCTCCAGAATTGTGTGTGTTTGTCTACATTATGTAAAAACAGCTGCTTGTATTTGTCTTTGAACGCGAAGTTAAGGGCTTGAGTTGGGAAGTATCTGATTACGTTGGCAAAGTTTCCACGCCAATATGCCAAAACACCCTGTTCTTTTGGGATACGAACGAAGCAGTCTATCATACCTGTTAAAAACAATAGCCAACATGCCGAAGATAAAGAAACAACACAGAAGAAAAGTTTATCGATATAATGTTAATCGAAAAAGGTTACGGAATAAGGTATTCAGTCGAGGAAAAGTGACTTGGTAAGTATAAAAAAATAGCTTGACCTGTTTTACAGCAGTAAGATTTTTACTTAATCCGTAGTAAGGAAATTAAGGAAGCGTGGGAAAATAGAAAGAGTGTAAAGTTAAATTTGAAAGAGATGGGTTTATCCTATGATCCCAATGAAACATTGCCTATTCCTAACATCAAACAGGAAATAAAGCAAAAACTGATGGGATATACTACAGAGTTAAAAGACACTAAAGAAGAAACAATACCCCCAAAGAAATATGTACTTGAAAACCTTGAAGCTGAAGCGAAAGCTCCAAGACAGAAACTTCTACGACTACCAAATTCACAAGTAGAATGGATAACATATTTGTTAGACAAATATAAAACTGACTATAAAGCAATGGCAAAGGATAAACGTAATTATTATCAGGAAACTTGGAAACAACTAAGAGCTAAAGTACGAATGTTTAAAAAAATCCCTGAACAATATAATACATATTTACAAGAAAGGTGTCTTAGTGATAAGGACCTCAAAGAGGTGGTCACTGATGA